GGGGGGGGGGGGAGACGAGTGTCACAGAGGAAATGAGACTATTTGATGTTGTGTTGTTCACAGAAAACCTCAAATACCAAAAAGCGCTTTAGGGACTAACCTCCTTTTAGGTTAGCCAATAGTGTCGTTAAATAGTCAAATAAACTCCAAATGTTTTTTTACAGGCCTAATAAGATCAAAGTATTAAGTAAATAAAGGTTCCCCTTCTTCTACTATCATTTTGACTCGATCCAAAATACACATCAACATTTTCCTCAACAAATGCACTGTTTTTCCTGTTTTAGTCAAGCGTAATGAAAACTACACTGACCGGTGGTTTGACGAAGTAATCCTTGATTTTGGAAAATAAATCAATATATATACTATATATAATAATAATGCATTTTATTTATCAAGCACTTTATCAGATGCTCAAAGATGATTTACAGAGGTAAAAATAAGATATAAAGTCTATTTGAATAATATCCATAACATAATCAATTATTATATAAATACTATATAAAGTATATAGTAGTATTATTTGGTTTTGAACCCTAAATTCAAGAAAGAGAAAACATAGCTGTTATAGGTCTGGGTAGAATTGAAAGAGGAAAATAGAGGATGGGACTTTTAACAGGATTTTTCTTCCAATAAGATGCAAACAAATAAAAAGATTGACCAAAGTCTACTGTTAGGTCGCCAAGCTTCAATATGACCTCTTCCTGATGGCTGCATGATCAGAACTGAGCGAGAAAAGGGTGTGAGTTTGAGGCCCGTCCTAAAATAATTGTTACCCTTTGGCTAAACTGTTTCGTTGATTACGAACTCTCCACTCAGCCTCCTAATGTCTCCTGCAGAGTGTCTCCAGCTCTTTACTGTGGACTCTCACCTTGGCCATGGTGTGAGGGGACGCTCCTTTGTCCAATAGCAGGAGCGCCACCATCTGGTTATCGTAATGTGCTGCGACATGGAGCGGAGTGAGGCCGTTCTGTGAGAGGGTGATGAGTACAGCAGTTAGTGCAGCATTAGGCCATTAACACACACACACACACATTCATATGGAGAGTTAAAGGGGATAAGACAGTAAATGCTGCAAGGGTTACTGAGTGGCTTCTTATTATGAACATATTCAATGGTAAAAAAAAAGAAGAAATCCTGATGTTTAAAAGGCTTCTGTGATTGGTTTTATGTTTTCTGGAATGAATAAAAGTGAATCCAAATAAAGGAAGCATTATTCTAACTAGTCTTACCGGTGCTCTTGGAGTCAATTCAACCTTAATACAGAAACATTTATTTAAATGTTTCAATATGTGCATGCAGGAAAAGTAGACATTATTTCTCATCTCATAGATTATAAAGTCATATCAAGAAGGTTTTTATTGTGGATGCATACCTTCCCAGCAGAATCGGGCGGAGCGCAGCGCTGTAGCAGAAGTTTGGCCACATCTAGGCTTCCGTACTTGGAGGCCACGTGCAGGGGAGTGAACCCTTTCTGTGGAGAGGTAGTCAGAGGAGAATACATGTGTTTAGAGACAGAATATCTCTACACAGGTTTTCATAATGTAACACCATTCCAAGTAAGACCGCTACATACAATATGTGTCTTACTTGAATACTGTAAGACACATGCATTCCTTTTCTTATATAGACCAAACTCAGCCATATACGTAACTATGCAATAAGTTATTATGTTATAAGTTATTATGTTTACACTTTCTTTATATTAACACATGTCCATACATACTACTATTTACCATTATATGGGACCATTCGGCACCTGAGATTTTAGCAATCGTAAGGCTTTACAGAGGGTGGTGAAAACTGCACAGCACATCACCAGGACAGAGGACCTCTACTCCCAGCGCCTCAGGAAGAAAGCCCTCAGGATTATGAAAGACCCCCATAACCCCAGCCACAAACTGTTCTGTCTGCTGCCGTCTGGCAGGGGGTACCTCAGCATCCGGACTAAAACCACCAGACTCAGGGACAGTTTCATACCACAGGCCATAAGACTGTTAAACACCTGAACAGTTGAAACAACATCCCTAATATTCATCTGGCTGCTACTTAAAAAATACTACAACATTATTGATCTATTTACCTATATATCCTATTTCAATAACTTGCATATAAAGTAGACTCTTATTGCACTATTTCACTTTTTTAAATCTATTTTTCTTTTTGTATTACTATTTACTATTTACTTGCACTATATTTTTTCTGTTTATCTGTGTTTTGTGTTGCTCTTTTGGAGAAGCCTGTGACACAAGATTTTCATCGGCATAACTACTCTGTAGCTATGTTCATATGACACATAAAGAACCTAAACCTTGAACCTTGAATATTCACAGAAAAACCAGCAGAGGGAGCACTTTGGCTATTTTTAAATCCAGATGAACTGTGAAACTGAGAGAAAGCACATGACCAGTGTTTACGGCCCTGCCCATGGAGGGAGCAATCCTTTGTTTGTCAAACCCGGATTATATCTGATGAAATGGGTGATTGGACTAAAACGGATGAAGAAATAGAGCGAAGAGGGACGGAGGAGAGGGGACAGGGTTCATTAATAGTCGGGGGGAAATAAAACAGTGGTCGAAGAAAATCAAGGATAAGGACTAATATTACCATGCTGGGATGGACAGAGAGTTAATGGAGATGTTTCCCTTGCATAAAAACATGTTCTTACAATTTTATTGACATAGCGACAGCCACACCCTTTGTCCCAGAGAGAAACCAAGGAGACAGACATCAATGGCTTCAACCACTACACCCTGATTGATATACTTCATCAAAAAGTGTTTTCTCTCACTCTAAATGGTGGACTCATCTAGACTAATTCTGAGTGGGATCCAGCCTGGTCTGGTAACACACCTACAGAGTGATGGAGATAAATCACTTGACTGCGTTCAGGCTTCATGCACAATTCAGAGGGAAGCAGCAGATTTACAGCTTTATCAATATTTCATGAAAAGTGGGTCAAACAGGGACCCGCTCATACAGTAACACTGTAACCTATTTATGTGATCCTTCCTCTGTACATCTGGCACTTACTGTACTGTATTGCACTTTATGTATCTTTAATGGAATATTAAGCATTACATATATTATTTAAAAATATTATGGGGCTGAATAAATTGTTTGTTTGTATCAATCACATATATTGTTGTGGCAAATAGGCATAAGACAATATGTACATATTATGTAATGTTTCCCCCAGCCTAATTTATGCGATTCATGATTTTATCAAGAAAATCCTGAAAACATGCTTAATATCATAAATCCTGAAAATAAATATCCACATTGTGTGCTTTTTAATGATGCTGTTGTCTATTTTTTACTTCAGACAAAACTAAGCTGTTTCCCCCTGTAAGCAGTCTTTATGCTAAGCTAGGCTAACAATGCTCTGACCTCAGCTGGATTGCTATGTAGTTCTCATAATAAGTGTATTCCACATATGTGAGAGGCATGACTGTCTTTATCTCTGAAGTCATTAACAAATACCTCAAAAAGAGCACTGTGTAGATTGAGATCTTTTCAGGTCTCAATCTACAAAGATTTTTTCCAAACTAAAAAAGGAATAACTGACATGGTCAATCGTCCCTCAGGGCTCTTTTACAGCCAATACAGTATCAAAAAGTCAATAAAATAAAACCTTTTGCCCCTAATAATTGTGAACCACTGCAATCACATCAGTCATACTGTACATGAGCACAAAAACGATTAGGTTGATGGATTCAGTAGTACTGGATATTTGCTGTGGATAAACAAACAGACACCCACATACACGCACATGACCCAAAGCACGATTTCCTCACAGGATTACGCCTAGTGGAGAGAACAAATTCCTGAATGCCTTGTGTGCGAGAATTTACATTAAAGATAAAACATCTCTTCCAAACCCACCTTGGTGGCCAGTGAGTGTGAAGCTCCAGCCTCCAGCAGCACAGAGGCTGTCTCCACCTGCCCCTCCCTGGAGGAGATGTGGAGGGGGGTGTAGCCGTTGGTTGTGGCAGCATCAGGATGAGCCATGTGTTGCAGCAGCAGCTGAACAATCTCTGTTTTCCCCAAACGAGAGGCAATGTGGAGCGGAGTCTGGTCCTCCTGACAAAGGAATACAAAAATAATGTCATCTTATTTTGCATGGTGGTAACGTGTTCCTTTGTGTGTTACTGTAGATGTCTGCAGTCTCACCCGTGCCCTGGCATCCACCATAGCTCCGTTCCTCAGTAGACACCGGACCACCTCCACCTGACCCGCCCTGGCTGCCATGTGTAACGCTGTTTCCCCTCGCTGTGCACACAGGAAGATATGGGTCAGCAGAGTCAACACCAACATATTTAAATGTCACTGCAGTAGTCGTCACAGTGAAATATTCAGATTATCAGTCAAAAAGAACTGATTTCAAAAACTATCCCTCCCTGTGATTGGCTTGTTTCCCGTCACTCACAATGTTGCTGACGTCGGGCGAGGCTCCGTTCTGCAGCAGCAGCAGGACGATGTTCAGGTGACCCATGAAGGCTGCCACGTGGATCGGAGTCAAACCAGACTGGACACAGGAAGGGAGGACAAAGAGGAACAAAAGTTTTAAATGCACATTTTGTATTACTCAAGGAGAGATCATCAAACTTTTTATAAAGAGCTACATGATGGCAATGTCTGAACAGATACTCTCCTTAGAGCATAGACAACAATTCAGCTATGAAACAATATTTAAAAGCCTATACATAAAGAGCTGACTGCACGCTTCAACCAAAGCAATGGCCGGACAACATTATGTTGATTGGCAAGTCATTGGTCAGTTCAGGTACAGGACAGTTCAGGTACAGGACAGTTCAGGTACAGGATAGCATCAGTTGGTCCCTCTGTGCACATTATTTGCTGGATTATGTTTATGATAACCCACTACTCCAGGAAAAGCTTCCACATGCACTTTAAAATAGATGTCATACTTATTCTGATAGTGTTGTTCCTTATATTAATATGACATATTGTCAACAATTACAGAACTAAACCTAAACTATCATTAATCTCCTGTATCTACTTCCATTCAGGGCTCCTCTCTGGAATGACTATGAATACAAAATAAATACCGTACTTAAACCAGACCCTGACGCTGAATTCAGTTTCAGTAAAACGTGAGACCTACCTCTGTAATGGCCTGAATAGAGGCTCCATATTTGACCAGCAGTTCCATCACCTTCACTCGGTTCTTCTTACAGGCTATGTGCAGCGGAGTGAAGCCGTTCTGTTGAGTGGCATAAACACGCACAGTTAAGGATAAACTTAGACAATAGTTCAATGTTGACTAAATCGTCCTTCTGCTTTGTATTTTTCATTAGTTTCCTTGTTCCCTACCAGGGCCCTGGCATTGGGGTTGGCCCTCTTGTCCAGCAGCAGCTTGGTGACTTTGTAGTGGCCACAGTGAGCGGCCACATGCAGCGCTGTCAGGTAGTCCAACGTGACATCATCAACAGGAGCCTTGTGCTGCAGAAGGTGTTTGACACATTCCACATGGTCGCCTTGTGCCGCCATGTGAAGAGGAGACAGCCCGTTCTAAATGTGAAAGAGAGGTCATTTGGTTTGATGGAGATAAAGAGTGGCAGGGGACTTTTTCCAAAGAAGAATTGAGGCTGTGTTATGCTAATAAAACACTACTTATTTGTCGGGGGCACATGCAACCATGATTGCTTTAAGAGTCTTCTCATGAACAGTTTAAGAGTGTAAGTGTACCTAGTTAGCAAATAGGTGTGGAAAGTGGAAAATGTAGCATTAGCAGCTCAAGAGCCTGACATGTTTTTCTTAGGATAAGGTGGAAATCAAAACAGAGCTGGAGAAGAGTGAACATTTCACTTACATTTGTCAGGAAGACACAAACACGTTGCTCTGTGTCTGCCTGGTGTGTAAATAGGGCAACTGCTAGCTAACAGGTTAGCAAAAGCAAATCTCCAGCCATCTCCGTGATGTTCAAATTGGATTCATGCATCTTTTAAACCTTTTTTTTTTTATTTATGCGATGAAATTAAGTATTTTACGCCTATAATGCAATCTTGCCCAAAATCTGAAATCATTGATAAAATACAGATATTGATATTGCTTATTTTTAGCCTAACTTACATAGACTCTTCTAAGTTGCCTTACATATACGTTGTTTTTCGTTAGCTAGCAACATGCTAATACTAAAAAAATAATTATAGTTACATCTTTAATCTAAAATAAATACATAAACACACACACAACATTTTTTATTGAATATAGAGGGATTGCTATCAAATGTCTCATCTGTTCCGGTGAAATTAGTATTTTATTTTAGGTGTTGACCTAAATCCACAGTCTTTAAACAATGTGTACTGAATCGTTTTGTATAATGTAACCTTATGGTAATATTTTTTACTTTGAGGTGTTGATTCACTACTTATGTTAATCATGTTATAGGACTCAGTTTTAAAAAATTACTAAGCAACGTGCCGTGTCCTTTAAACTGTAAACAGGTGCCGGAACATGAGACACACCTTGGTCCGGGCCAGCATGGGGGCTCCTTTCTCCAGCAGCAGCTCCACAGCCATCTCATGTCCACTCCGGGCCGCACAGTGAAGGGGGGTCAGACCATCCTACAGGACACATCAACACCAGACTATAGTATAAGACATTTAATACATACTGAAACTGATTTGGCTAAAACTTAAAGAACAACTCTTTACTGATGTCCTTTTCAACATGCAGAATTCCTTTTCTGAAAAAGTTTGTTATGTCAGTCGAGGTAAAGCGTCCGACAGGCAGGTGTAGCCAGAGACTCGCCCAGGCCAGATGTTGTTTGTATTGGCTAGAATCATACATGGCTAATTACATGCCTGTTGTGCTAGCTAACACACAACAAAAATAACAACAAGCAGAGGTTTAGGATGGCAACTGTGATACTGCATTTAATCCACTGAGCTGAACTAAAAACAGCTTAAAGCTCATATTAACATCTGTTCTTATGGAGAAAAAATAATGAGAGCTGGTTATTTTTATACTCCTGTGGATGTAGAGCAGAAAGATTCAACAAAGAATTAGTCGGCCTTCAAATAAATTCCCTTTTTTATCAGGACAGTCAATCTACAATAAACAGAACAATAAGATTACAATAGTTTGGCTTCTCGTGATACTCACCCTTGTTTTAGAATCAATCTGAGAGCCGCGGTCCAGTAGCAGGCCCACCATGTTAGTGTTGCCCCGCTTGGACGCCACATGTAGAGGAATAATCCCATTCTAGAGGAGAAAAAGTTAAAGTTTCAAACTTAAATTTAAGAATGCATAATAACTGTGTCTTGTCTTGAAGTGTTCCTGTGTTATACACTGATTATGTCAGATGCACTTCTTCTGTAGATAAGTGCACATTAACTCTTTATATTGTATGGAGGAAATGGCCATGTTCCTGAAGTGCAACGTTTCTACCTTTTGAAAAAGATTCAGTTTGTTTTTACTTGGTTAAATAAAGGTTAAAAACATAACCAATATTGATGACTCTTAAATTAGTCTGACACACTGCTTTTTCCTTAAAATGCTGTTCGATCTACCATCAGACTGAAGGATGGTATTCCTTAGACTGAAAGAAGAAGAGGTTTTATCCTAAACCTTTTAATAACATAGGCTTTAAAATGTTTGGCAACCTTCTTTTCAGCCACACAAGCATTCCCATGAGTCTTAAGAAAGTGCAGGGTGAGAAAAAAAGCTATTTTTATCCACACTGCTGCTTGCATGACTAAAAATAGGACATCTGTCTTTTCTGGGTAATATTAATCAGAAATGACTGAAATATAACTGTGTATGCTATAAACATAGCAGGGGTTCGGTGGGATGAGGTGAGGTGTGACAAGCACATATTGCTTTGGTCATGTAAACTGTCAGTAATAACTAAGTGAATAAGTTGCCAACAATACTATGTCATTTAGAGCACAGGTAGAATTATAGTTTCTTCTAAAGCCCTTATCTATGGTGGCCAACAGGTGCAACCGCGTTACAACGGCCCAAGACATTTCCATCAGTAGATACACGCTGCAGCTTCAGAAACAATTACAATATTAAAAAACAAATGTGCCCAAGCACATTTATGTATGTGAAGAAAAATCTTCATCAACTTGACAAGTCATGCACAGGGTTTACTAAAAGCGCTGCATAAACAAACCGCTAATAACTCAAGACGCTGCAAAACAAAAAACACTGCAAGAAGCTCAAAACAAAACGGAGACCAGGGGACACTAAAAAGTGACGCACACAGCTGGGACCGGAGCGCTTGGTGACGTTCAGGATTATAAAGTTGGACAACTGTCTCTGTTGCAGAGTTAGTCTGTTTCATAACTGTAAGTGTGTGTCAGTCTGAAATGACTAGGTTAGCTAACTAGCTTACAGCAGATCTGCTATAATAGCTGAAGGAAACATATGTTGACAAATTGTTAAAATATGCCAATAAAACATTTTAGGTAAGTTTCGAACAACAGTGACAGTTGGTTAATGCAGAGCTTTGGTTAATACAGAGCTTTTAGAAATACTTTTTAGTATTTGTTGTCAATTGTTTTCTTCCTTTGTATGTGTGCGTTTCTCCCAATGGAAGTGTTTTAGGACATTGTAGCGTGTTTGCACCTGTCGGCCACTGTACTTATCACACCAAAATAACGGCGCATTTTTCTTAAACTCCTACCCTTGCCGTGAAGTCCACGGCTGCCCCTCGGTTCAGAAGCAGTGTGGCCACATTCACGTTGCCATAGTGGGCAGCGATATGCAGGGGGGTGAATCCACTCTGGAAGACAGACAGGAAAGAGACAGACACACATATAGGAGGACAAGAGTTTGAATTAGCCTCGATGTAGTTAAGTCCTTGAACTTGAATCTTCCCAGCATGCAGCAGTTGCATCAAGCATCACAGGTGAACAAAAACAAAACTGAAACAAAGAAAATGTGAAGAAAGTTACAGGAAAAAATCAATTATTTTGAAAATAATTCCTAATATCTAGTACCCATACACACAACCCCCAAAACACACTCAGAAACATCACTTCCATGCAGGTTATCAACCACAAAAACAAAAGAGAAGAAAGACCTTTCATAGGCTTTACAAAAACGTTTTGAAATGAAAAGAGAACTGAAACAGAACAAATAAATGTACAGTATACACAGAGTCATCCAGATTGACATGAAGATGGACAGACAATACTAACCTAACAACACCAAATGATAGTAAACTCATAAAGTTGCACATAACAAGAAGGTCATATTTCTGAGTAACACCAAAGTGCACTATGTGAACTGTAGTTCATAGAAGTGTAAGAATTAGAAATGAGGAATATATCATGAGGAAAGTTAGAGATTGGCAGAGCAGGTTGGAGTAGTTGTGAGATTCTTGCCTTACCTTTCCATTCTGTAAGTGTGGTCCGATTTAATGTGAAAAAGTTGTTTACAAAAGTGTGAAGAACACAGTGGCTAACGTGATGGTTTAAAACTTTACACATTCAAAAGCTTCAATGGTGCAAATGATATGGTAGCGTGGATTCAACATGCTATTCTATGCCAAATCCTTTTTAAAATCGGGAGGTTTCATAGTAGACTGGGACTGGCATTATTAAAATTAAAATAATTTTATCCTTTCAATTTGTGTGAGCATTAGGGATGTCAGAAATTTTTTGGAAAATGTATATTTACTGTTAATTGAACATTAAAATGAAGGAAACAACAATCATCTTAATTTTTCAAAATAGCCGATCATGTGCACTCTAAACTGGAAGTTGGTTTTGAAATATGTCCAAATTGCTACGGAAATTGCTAACATGGAATCTGTAAAATGTGTCAAAGTCAACAAAATACTCAACATTATTTATTATTTGTATTTTTCACATGATCTGCCAATTTATAATATATAAATTGTGCAGTGTTATGCTTTGAAGTAGACTGAAAAATGTTGATCATAGGCAATTTCCTTATGGGCACACAAATAGAAATGTTAATTTAAATTTGATTACATTTATTTATTTTTATTTTGTCGGCACTTGGCTTCCATACATAAGCATTGTATGCTCTAATTGAAAAAATGCAGTTTGAACCCAAGCAGTTCATAGTGCATCTGTATACATCATGCAACAGGACAGGATTGACAGTTCAGATAGAGTGTGGACGATATACATTCACAGCTGTCACACAAATGTATCAACACAGAATTCATCAAATCAAAACATTGCAGGAAATGAACGTAATCATTCAAATAATTCAACAAACCTTGCATCTTAGTAATAATGATAAGAGGTATTTTTAAATATAATGAGGGTTGGATATGACCAAAACAAACTGGCTTCCTGAGTTGGTGAAAAATGAAGTATAAACTTGGGAGAAAAAAATAAAGTGTATGAAGACAGGGTATAAACAAATTGTGCAGTGCGTGCGTGGACAACACTGTAGATCGGCCTTTTGTGTAAGCCATGCATGTTGACCAGTTATTAAATCAACTTTAGAAACAAAAAAAACAATCTTCATCATTATACTATACCATGCAGTGCTGTGAAATAAATAAAGGATGGAGGGAAAGTAAGGAAAAACAATGGAATGGGACAGTACAGTGAATCTGTGGAGAGTCAGAGGAGCGTGTGTACCTCAGTAGTCCTATTGACCATCATCTGAAGCAGGAGGAAGCAGGGAGGGAAACATCAGCTCAGTTAGACTTGTTGAACACATCGCCCTCTACAGCAGCTGTGCTCAGACACTGACAGGTGACGAGGCTAGGAGGCGTTTCATTTACTCAGTTTGAACAAATAATCTTCTTTACATCGATACTGCTCTTTTTTGCAGCTTTGGTGTATGCTAACATTTGACTGCACTGAGCAGTGCCTGAGAGCTCAGAAACAATCAGCGGTGATACAGAGCAGTTGGACCGAGAAACACAAGCAGTCAGATGATGAGATAAGATAAGATGTACTTTATTGATCCCAATTTGGGAAATGTTTGATCTTATCTTATCTTAATCCATGGATTTGGTTACAGATGGCTATAACTAAAGTGCTTTTTCCCAGTATGTAAATATAAGTGTGCCCTCTGTGTGACAGCAGTGTGTCTCTTGTGTGTATATGTGTTGATTGTGACTGTACATAACGCTGTTTATAGCCTTCCCCTCTGGGCCCTACTGTGAGTCATATTGAGCAGGACTGCATCACAGCTAAACCACAAAAGGCATTATACTAAATGCATGCATTACCCTGTGATGCCCCCTCAGTGTTTTGTTACATAACAACATAATTGGTGCTTTTAAAAAAATGCAGAATATACTGAATAAATAACATTCAGTAAAATAGATAAACATTTGTGTGGTGCAGTTAATCATCGTCCCTCTAGCCACGTCACTGGTATCCCGTTACAGTAGTACAGTTACAATTAAGTGTTTGACATCAACAGTTAACTTTGAATTTACACAAATCATATCATATATCCCATCTATTGCCAATGGTCAAAAAAGCAATATTAAATACAGCTTCCACCCCCCCATACGTTGCATGCAGCACCATACAACCTGCAGACAGTGGCACACTCCATGCAGGGGACAGGGCTACACTTAGACACCGGTGCAGCAAGGAAGGAGGGGGTGATGGGGGGAGGGATTAAGAGGTGGCGTTTAAAGAGAGGAAGGAAAAACAGGGAGAGGGCAGGTTAGTGGCAGGCACAGAAACACTGACGAGAGAGAGAGAGAGGAAGAAAGAGCACAGACAGACAGATGGGAGCAAACACACATGAACAGCTTCATCACCAATACTGAGTGGTCTTCTGTTCTACACTTATAGTTATCATACATTTAGACTGAGTACCCAATTTAAACCTGCTGTGAGCGTTATGAGGGTTTTGTATCTGGATAAGGGAAATCTTCTTACTGACCTGTCGTTTTCCGGTCAAATCTGACCGATCTGAACACTTATGATTAAAAAATGACCGCCATAGGAAATGAATGGTAACCAGGAGGGTTAATAACTGTCTAAAATATTGTAGTGCAATGACATCCCATCTGCCATAGCAACTATCGCTAAGAGCTTCCGAAAGAATTCCTTTCAGATATCTTGGTTAAACACTGCAAATACACAGTCTCTGTAGGTAGAATAGTGTCATTCATGGGACAGAGACATCATACCATTAGTGGAAACTTAGCATTTAAATATCTTTGTCAATGGAAAAATATTACAACAGGGGACAGCATAGACGTAAAGATATGTCATCACTGACGGGCAACACAGCTTAACCTTCTATAGGAAAGACAACACTGTTTTTAGATCTGTCATTACCATACACAGAACTGTTTCTCCCACACTTTACATGTGTGTATAGAAATGTCAGGACCGCAGGTGGGTGGAGAATCTTCTCTAGGGGGGACAGAGTGTCACTGTGGGTAGAAACCTCATCACTGAAGCCACTAACGGCATCATCAGCAGCAGAACTGTCCTTACCACAACTCCATCTCAACGTTATTGGACTGTAAAATCACCCTCAATTTAATTGTATGTTGCCAGCTTTCCACCTACTCGCCTACCTTCTACATTCTGAACCTGAAATACCTAAATAATTAAATCAGCTACAGCCTTATACAATTCATAAACCTCATAAAAGTCATCATAACCACAGTATGGATACATAGGCACAAACAAATAGCTCCACATTAGCTTGACGTCCACACATGCCAACCCCCAGGATCTCAGAGCGTCCCTGTGCTTACCTTGGACTGGACGTCGGCGTTGTGGTCGTTCTGGAGCAGCAACGCGGCCGACTTGGTGTCGTCCTTTCGGGCCGCAATGTGCAGAGCAGGCAGGCGCACCTTGCCTTTAGTGTCATTCTCCAGCAGGACAGAGACCACCTGGTTGTGGCCCTGCTGCAGGGCGATGGCCAGGGGAGTGAAGCCATCCTGGGGGGAGGGGACAAGTTAGGGATCAGAAATATCTTGTTTCAAGAACTCTTCATTTGTTCAGTAAAGTCTCAAAAGTTTTATCTTTAAACGTCTAACACATGATTTGTGATTTGCTCAACGTAGGTAGAGCCTAACGGCGATAGATAGACATAAACACACTACCGTATATACTTTATTTATCCCAAGATGGGAAATTGTTTTATCACAGCGGCATTTTAACAGTGAATGTACAAGAATTACAACATTTCTTAAAAATAGAATAAAATACAAATAAAATAAAGATAAACATTCAAAATTAAAAGTATAATATATACTTTCCATTTCCACAGCATTGGCTCCAACAATTCAGCTATATTATATTCAACACTTCTGCTCTCACTTACCAGAAAATAGCTATGGTCAACAAAATACTTATTACTATAGCACTTCCTTCATATGGTCAGATCTGAAAGCCTACCAGGACAGGGAGGGGCTGCTCTACACTATATGGTAGAGTCTCTATACAACACCTGAAACAGGAAGTTTCCCTTACGGCAGATAAATAGAGATCATGCTGGAAGCAAAGCTCTAGGAATGTCAATGGTCCACTATGACCTTCCAAGTCAACCATTGGTCAGGACTTAAATGTCTCCACAAATACTGGATGGATTGCCATGACATTTTGTACAGACAGTTATGGTCTGCATAGGATGAATTCTAATGACTTGCAGTGATCCCCTGATAATAATGGTAATTTACACCTTCCACTCGGTGCCATTAAATGTTGTCATTTGTCATCACAATTCCCCGATGATGTGTCCTAATGACTCACTGCTCCCATAAGTTTTCCTCTAGCGCTATACTAGCAACACATGTTCAGAGTGAAATGTCTACATCTCCAGGAGGGATTGCAATGAAATGTAAGATTGTCAAATAGTGTTTTTTTCACACTCCTCTCACCTCGGTAGCGGTGCTCTGGTTGCCTCCATTCTCCAGCAGGTATCGCACCACATCCATGTGGTTCTCCTGGGCGGCCATGTACAGAGGAGTGAATCCATTCTACAGCAAAGGCAAAAACAAGAGGTTAACAACAACCTACAGAACATGAACATGTGATGTTTATTTAGCATATTTAAGAGCAGTGAACTCACCTGAGACTGTGAATTGATGTCAGCTTCTCGTTTGACCAGGATCTTCACTACTTCAATCTGCCCAGCTAGAGAGGAGATGTGCAGTGCTGTGTTTCCTTTCTGGAATAGAACACATAAACTGACAGTGAGTATACATATTTCCAGTGGTGTGATATATTGAAGTACATTTTCTCATGTACTGTAACTAAAGGTCCCCCTATTATACCCTATTCCAAAAGGGTTGATTCTTGGTGTTTGTAGGTTTAAATGCTAATGAGCAGCTGCTGGCCACAGCCCTCTGAGAAGTGAATGGTTAAAAAATAACACAATGGTGCTCTAGGAGGAGATCCAAGTGATAAGGTGAGCGGGTGTTACCTTGGTTGCACAACCCAGAAAAACATTGTGACATCATAAAGTGACCAGATCTGATCAGCTCATTTTCAGACAGGTTTTTATATACAGTAGATGGATCAGGACAAAAAGAGAGGGGGTCTTTGTTCCTGTTAGGAATCTCTTAACACAGAAGGGACACATGTTTATGTAGAAAAGACATGAAGAAGTGGATTTTGAATAATAGGTGACCTTTAAATATAGACCTTTTAAGATTCTGGGTCCTTGTACTTTACTTAAAGGTCCCATGTCAAGCTTTTCCGGTTATTACCCGTCCCCTTGTGTGTTATTATGAAGGTTTTTATGCATGTAAACGGTCTGCAGAGTCACAAACCCTCAAAGTGCACCCTGTAGCGCAGTGGTTCTCAAAGTGGGGGGCGCGCCCCCCCCAGGGGGGCGCAGAGGCATGACAGGGGGGGCGCGAGAGACCAGGAGGAAAAATGGTTATACATTTTTTTTTTTTTTAATATTTAATTTTTTTTTTTTTTTAATTATTGATTCGAAAATAATATCATACAGTACTATTACGTCTGGGTCTCTGTGTTTCATTAAAGCTTGGCTCTGTGTGTGTTTGGAACGA